AAGTAACATATAAATATAAAAAAAATATTTCCAGAAAAAAAGTAAAAAATATATGTACTTCAGTGAAATTCTGACCTTAGGCTATTAAAGATTACCATGACAGATGCAAAAAAGTAACAAAAATTGCAGACAAACTTTCCCAGTACTTTTAAGTGAGCCTAAGCAGTCAAGAGGACATGGGATATCATTTTGCCAAGAACATTTGGAATGGGCCTCTGCCTGGTCATCTGTGAATGAATTCACATCATTACAAATAGATACAATAAATAGATGCAAAATAGATTACAAAAAATACAATACAAATTACAAATGCTGTAGACAGGGAGTTGAGTGCCTATCTCCAAATTAAGAGAGAGCTTCAGCAAGATTTGGAGTTGTGCCCTACAGTGGTAAATAATTTCATGTCATGAAGTCAACATTTTCTTAGAACGAGAACTATTTTCAAAAGGATCTGACACATGGGCAGTGACAATAAAACATTCTTTGAAATGATTACTACAAAACGTAATTCTCTTGGTGGATAAAACTTCTGCATTTCTTCCATGTTGATGACTTGATTCATCTTTGATGTTTAGCCAAGCTGAAGAGGAATTATGGTTAAATTACATGTGATCTGAGGTAGATTATCAGCAGAGGTTGTGTTCAAACACATCAACGCATTTCTGCATTATATTAAGAAGGACAACACGTCGAACACTTCAGTTATCCAAGCACACAATATGCTTTATACACTCAATCTCACACTTAGTTACAAACCAATTCCATAACAAAATTTCAGACCACTTGACAGAAAAACTTCTACTCAACCTAATAACAGAGATCAGAACATCCATCTCACCTGCTGACTGTGGTCAATACCTGCAATGCAGGGCTAAGGAATTTTCCGTCATCAGATAAATGAGAAAGTTGTATATATGATGATTGCTATTTTACTGGATAGAATACAGACATTAAAATCCTAACATCAGTGACTTTGATATCAATCCAGCAAATGTTTTCATGCTAAAATAGAACAAAATCTGCACAGCAGGAAAGAGATGGCTGCCCCCTTCTCCCACCTCCACTTCAACGTAACTAAGATATTCAGAGCACTGCAAAGTGCAGTAGGAATCTTTACATTCTATTCTATTTTTAATATTACAACAAAATATGATTCGTTTGGGGGTTTTTCTGTCTTTATAATTATTATACTCTAAAATACGGTGTACTCTTTTCAGAGCTAAAGAATAGTTTGGCACTAATTTTTTTTTACTAATTTTTTCCATTATCAGTGTATGTCCTACTTTTAATGACACAGATCATTGTTACTCCCTTTGAAGTGGTCTTCCCAGTAGGCAATTTTAACATCACGGTGCTAAAAGCCAACGTTTCCACTCATCTGCATCACAAGAATAAATTGGATCAGCACATTTCTTTCCCAGTTTGACTGATTAAACAGCATTTCCAACTTTCCATTTTCTGTACAAATCACTGAAAAAATGTCAGTCATTAATTTTGGAAGGAAAAAAGAATATATTTTTTTTAACCCTCAAATGAAGATTCAAAAGCCTTTAACTGCCTGCTGTCAAAAACTGCTTCTGTATTCTTCCTGCTTATGTAGGTTTTCTTTGGCAGTGCCGCTGCCTCTGGTACTTATGGATGATTTCTTCTGAACTGGAGAACCTATACAGCATCCAAAGAGGAAATGAAGCTTGACTCACCTTCCTTCTGCATGGGAACAGATTTTTATACTTACAAAATTCACAGGATAAGAGTTCATCTTATCTCCAGAGTACAAAGACAGAAGAAATAAAATGTCCTCCTTTATAGAATAGTGCCAAGCATCAAAGCCTTAAAATTTCATTTCTGCTTTACTACAATTTTTTCACCCCACCATCTTTCAGTGCAGTTCAATTGAATTCACCCTGCAGAGCATGAAATTCTCAATAGATCAGGGACTTCAAAATGCCTTGACTTTATTTTCTATTAGTACAGCTATACACAGGAAGACTGAAGAAAAATCATTTTAGGATGATTTACTTAATACTAAAGCTATAACCACAGTTTATATATGAGTAATACCAAACCATTGCTTGCAAGGTACTTATTTGAAACAATGCTTCTTAGCAGGAAGAATACGTATTACTGGGAGCTATCAAATTCATCTTCTGCTCCTGATTTGCTTTGTACTGCCTGTACTACTTTGTCTTTTACGTAATACATGTTTTTCAAAATACTGTCACAGCCTGAACAGCCAAGAAATATACTGCCTGATATAAACCACTGTGCCAGCTTAATAAATACATGGGGCTATGGTAAAATAGTACATGTAAAGACATTAACACACTTTAAAGTAAGTATACACAGTCATAATAAAACACCTTGCCCACAGATATTATCTTCTCTACCCACACTGTAATAACATTATTTAAATAAGAGTATTATTTTTTATTTTTTAATACAGATATCTTTTGTCTAATGAGTGGCACTTGCAGCATCCATGTGACAGAGCTGAATAACGTTTTGCTACTTCTTGGTACAGAATATAGTTAATGATACCATTTATTATGTTTTGGGAGAAATCCCTACCTTGTTCTTTATCTCAAGGAAATTATATACAAGCACACATCAGCTGGAGGTCTTACAGATTTTTTCAGGAAACATTTAAGGACCTCTAACAGAGGAATTTTTAGACAACACTATGTATTGTATATAGCACTTTTTTTTTCCCCTCCACACAAATGTTTATTATTATTATTAATTTTTTTTACAAAGTCCTGAATAGCCTGAAATTTACATTTCTGTACATTGGCTTCTCTTCATATGCTACAGCACAGCTGCTATGTTCAGCTGGAAAGCTGCTGTTGTTTATTCTTATCTCTGAATTGTCAAGATGAATGGCAATAGGGCATGTACTGAAAGGATGGAAAAAAAATGGGGAATTATTTGTATAGTTACTGGGGAATCTGAGATTGCTGCATTCAATATTTGCCAATACAAACAGAGGGCTATTAAATAAAATGCACTATTTTTGAAAGAGGGGCAACAGTAGCTGTGAATGGAATTTCATTTATGCTATGCACCTCTATTTGTACGAACACAAAGCCTTTAAAATTACATAGAAGCAATATCCATTAAATGTACATCATATTTACTCTTACAAACAGGTTTTGTATAACCATACTGCATATTCAATGATTGGAGAAAAGGCACAGATAAACAATGTTTCCTCAAAAAAGTACAATTCATTTTGTCAATCTAATTAACAAAATATGAGGTCCTTGTTGAAAAGGCCTATATCAATTACTGACATTCCAGAAAAGCTGTTAGTGGGCATATAGGGAACTGACCACGTAGTGCAGAGATTCTATAAAGAGCCATTAGGTAGGGATAACCATTCGTTCCTTTCTCACACACTAACTGATGCACAGAAGGGCAATGCAATTCTCTCAAACCAAATTTATCCCAAGGCAAATTTAGTTGACTAAAGAACGTGGGCTTTGCGAGAAGCACCAATTGCACAGATGCTCCAAATAACATCTATTGCAGAAATCCAGAAACTGCTCACTCTACGGCTCATATCATGCCTGTGCACCTTCTCTATTTTGTAGTCAAAGCACTTTAGTGAAAATGGAGAGAATCAGAATGACAGAGACATCAGAGACATAAATATGTACTTATGAGAAATACCCCTAAAACATTTACGATACTATGAATGTCAACTTACATGTTTTCCCTGAGCTTTTATCTATTCTCCAATCATTTTACAAGCTAGGAAAAAAAAAATCATTATCTTCACATAGTGTAGTAAATAGAGATCCCAGTCAAGCTGAAGGTGCACTTAGTGCCTGACAATCACACCACCACAACCACCACAAAGACCATGAGAGAAAGAAGCTGCACAGCTACTGCAGTTTTTGACTGCTGTTTTTTTTCCTCGTGCATTTTCTTGGGCTGAGCTTGCAGGGAATTCATGGCAGACAATAAGTGCAACTGCTAGTTAAGAGCAATAATGAGTACAAGGGTAGCAGGAGAGCAACACCGACATAAAGCCTGTATACAGAATTCAATTTCATGAACAAGTACTGTGTTAAATATAAGGCATATAGTAAGAAGTTCTCAAAGGAACAGTCAGGCAAACAAGAAAACCATACAAACAGCCTAGAAGCTGTTCAAAAACACTGTATCAGAAATTCCCAAAGCCCTGAATAAACCCAATAAAACTAAGACTACAGGGAACAACTGAGAAAAACCTGCTGAGAGGAGGAGATCAGGAAAAACTATTAAAAATAATCAAGTTAAACAGTGCAGTAAGATGGAATTTGATAATATAAGTTGTGGAGGTGTTTGGTATCAGGAAGGGGCCTAGAAAATCAATGTACAACTGGTTCATAAAATACACTATGGGGCATATGCACTAATAAATCCTCAAACTCCCAAATCCCAGTGTCTGCAGTGAGGCAGGCCAACACAGGCTACTATCATACCATTTGGGACTGTCATTGTCACAGGAGATACTGTGATCCATGAATCACTGAACATTTCTTTACATTCTTTTAATTTACAAGGTGGGAGCATTGACAATACCTCTGTGCCTCACTCAGAGCATCATCTGCAACAGTGACTTCTTGGCACTCCACTAACCTGTATGCATTTCTGATGGAGCAAAACTCATCTCACCGATGGTCCCCCATAGTTTCACCATGAATTATTTTTTGTTCTGGATGAAGAAGTGAAGCAGTACATCTGTTGACATCCCCATCAAGTTACTCATGTTTTGAATCAAAGGACTGCTGAGAATCTTCATTGACCACTCATTTTAGGTAGATGTGGATATATTCAACAACTAAAGCATCAGTGCATTATCAACATTACTCACATCCTAAATCCAAAGCAGAGCACCACACCTGCTACTAGGAAAAAAACTGTTTCCCAACCCAAACCAGGACACAGTCAACTTCTGAAACCTCTTTTCAACTGACTTCACGTATGTATTGCCAACACTTAAGCATTCTTCTTACCTCGTTTTGGAGGGCACGGATCATTTTGCTCTTTCTTTCCATTTCAGTCTTCAAAAAGTTAATCTACAGGTGGAAAAAGAAAAAAAGAAAAAAAAAAAAGCTGAGTTTCTGAAAGGTAGCTAAACATCACAAAATCATAGAATGACTTAGACTAGAAGGGACCCAGAGGATCACTGAATTCCAACTCCTCTGCCATGGGCAGAGCCACCACCCTCCAGATCTGGCAGCAGACCAGGCTGCCCAGGACAGCCCCGTTTAACCTGGTCTTGAACACCTCCAGGAATGGGGCATCCACAGCCTCTCTGGGCAGCCTGTACCAGCACATCTCACCACCGTGAACTTTTTTTTTCTTTTCTTTTAACCTTATTCACAGCCTTCAAAGAAAAAAAAAAAACAAATAAACCATGCGTAAAAACAACATATCATAGAAAGCTACTGCTGCACCAGGAGATGTAGGTATAGGTTACAGCTCTGAATAACCTGATAAATCTGAAAATTGATACACTTTACTTGGTGAGAAACTCAGAACTGAGAGAAAATTAAAAAAAACCCTCACTTTACTTCTGTACTAGTCGATATAGTGTTTGTTTTTCTAGTGAAGTCCAAAGTGATCCTCAGAGGTAAGGATTTGTATAAAAACTATTAGCTTATAATTTTTGAACCCTCTAAGATACCAAATCTATCATAACAGGTTTCTAACAGCTATTGGTCCTGAGGAGGTGAGACTGACAATTTCCATCAGATTTACCTGTGGAATAAAGCCTAATTTATACATGGAAGCAGTTGAATCTTTTGTCTTATTCATATGTAAGATTTGTCCTGGAAGGTAACACTCTCAATCTTAGTTCAGTAAGCAGTTTTAAAACTATTTTTTACACATCTAAGTTTCACTTAGGAATGAGTTTTCCTCCAGACTTAAAAAACTTAATTGGAAAAAGAATGTTTTAATTGTAACAACTAGCATTAAATTAGCACAGTGCTTTCATCCATAAGCATCCACCTACAATTCACTAAATTCTCATTCCTGTACACCCAGTGCCCCATGTGTTTTTCTCTCCATCTATGATATAAGTACTGCCCACACTCATGGGAAACTATAGTTTACCTGACATTGCTGTAGACTTGTTAAGAAAGAAGAAAAAAAGTAGGTAGATGCCATTACTTGAAGAAAACATTACTGGGCTTGACACTGCTCTTATCAACATCAAAAGATAGATGAGAGAGCACAAGCTTAACTTAAGAACATCTGTATGGGGTACATGAGACAAATATCAACCGATAGATATAGTAGGACTTCCAAAATCCTTCCCAGATTTTGTCTAATGATTTGGTTAAGGGAAATACTAATTCCCCGTAGATACTACTGAGGATCATTCTGTAGAGGAAAATGAGTATACTCAGTACTTGCCTAGAGATCACATCTATAAATGAATTCAATTTACATACACTGTATAATAAATGAAACATTTTTGCATAACAATAAATTGAGGCCACAATCAAAGTAGAAGTTTATGATTGACTGAAAACTGAAAATTAAGAAGTAGTGTACTTCTTGCTGTTCAAAAGATTTGCAAGTTACCACTGAATACTGACAGCTTCTTCGTTAAAGAGCATTCTGGTTCTCAGCACTAATCCTCTCATAATAACGTTAATGTCTCCTGAAAGCACATCCTATGTCCAAATATAGATGAAATACTGAAAAAGGTATGGCACTGGGTTTGTTGACTGTGTGCTCTCCATACAAAATCTGAAACTAACAATCTTTTCTGGAGAAGATATTTTTATGACATCCATCATGGATTTATGGTTTATTATTCCACATCATAACATCATGTAGTGCACTGGGAGTTAAAGAATTAATGCTCCAGTTCTGGGCACCTGTCTAGAACAGAAGAGCTACATACCCCAGAGGACTTTGCATTCAGAGAGGAGATATAACCCCCGGCAAGGTCATCTGATGTTCCCTTTTTCTTCAGCTCTCCTTCCTGCTGCTCAACCCAACTGCCCATCTCACCTCAGCGTTTTGGTGACGCCTTCAGTTCTCAAACATTTTCTCTCCCACTATATTTGGTTTATTAGCTTCAATTCTAATTATATTGTATTATAGTGTTATCTTGCATTCCAATGCTACATTTAGTGAATTAGTTTGTTTCTCCTCGGATCCTTGCCATTGTTTTTAATTATTTGGGGTCCCCTGTTTCCCCACTCCAGAGGCATGGATTCACAAATCCCTCTGCCCTTCAAGTCACTGAACTGGGCCAAACCTGCCCATAAACCACTGACAGACACCACAGGGCTGTTAATTTAACCAGCAATTCGTGTGATGGTTTTACTCAGTCCTAATGTTAGGGCATAGTAATGGACCACACAGCGCTTCAGAATCTCAAGTTGAGAAGTGGAGTTTAGAGCACAAATGACAACAGTGCATAAACTGCTTTCAAGAAGAGTACAAGTTCTGCTTTCATCCTCCAGATCCTCCTAGCATAGTAAGCTTTTGAGCGCTTTTCTTTGTTAGAAGAGAGGTATGCTAAATGAAATAATAACTATGAATCTTTCTGCAGCTTTTCCACTTTCTATCTGCTCTTTGTTCTTGTTTGACTTTCAGCTCTTTCCTACTGTAGGAAAGTCTTTAATCACTATCTAGCAGTAATTATGAAAACACATAATGAAAATGTATTGGTGGTTCTCAGAATGAACTTTTCAGTATTTAGCACAGACATTGCTTCTGTCTCCTGGACACAGACATCCAAGGTACTCTGAACACAGACATCCAAGGTACTCAGAGCTTTGAGTGCTTCAGAGCTCATTACATTTATTAAAGGCAACAGTTTCCACCCAGTAGCCTTTACTCACAGTGTGTGACCTTGAAATGTTGAAATTAGATATTTCCCCACTGAAATACAAAGTGCTTTAGCAGATGGCTGTGATCTAATTCTATGAGACAGATATTAGTTATTTACCATGGACAAAAAGTGGAGGAATACCAGCAAAGTCATTAGTGCACAGCCAGAGCTCAGCTATGCACTTATTGCTTACCTACAGACATCATCAGCATCGCTCAGGACTAACGTCAGAACAGTTAAGGTGGGACTGAAATACATTCACTGACACCATTGACTAAGTAGACCTAGCATACTCAACACTGACTTTCATGGTCTTATTTTCAAATTACTACGTAGAAAATGATTCTAAAAGCCGGAGAAAGTGACTGAAACTATAAAACATAGAAAATATTCTATCATTTGCTAAAAGGAGAGAATAATCTACAAAGCGTCCAATATTTCTGAAACCAAAGCTAAACATATCCTGTCTGCTAGGGTTCCTTACAAAAAAAAAAAAACCTCTTCAATTTTAAGCTGTAGTTTAATGAAGGAACGCTTTTGTTGTAGAGGCATTTACGACTTTGTCACAAGAACTGTTAATAAACAAAACATGTTGGAATGAAATGGACATCCTATCCTCTTATGAGTTTGTAATATTTGTTAGGACTCTTGTTTGGTGATAGATATCTCTATCTACTTTATCCTAATTTAATCCTGAGTGTTATATTTGTGCCTTATTACTAAGAACATCCTTATCCATACTGATATCCAATTAATCATATTGTTTTTATTTTCTAACAAATCACAGCGGGATTTTCTGCAGACATATTTTCTCCTTCATTTTGACAGGCTGTAGAATAATTATATTGTCAAACAACCCCATCACCACACCTTCCTAAAATCTATTACCATGATGTCAGATAGCAGCAGGAGCAAAACGGAAAAGGCTGTCTAAAATTAGCCTGCCTACCCTAGTTTCACTGTTTTGTTTTTTTCTTTTTTCCCCTTCCAGCCCCTATCATAATTTCCCTGCTTCGTTCTTTACCCTCTCACTCATCTAAAGCAGTCCAGAAATTTATGGGAACCAACTTCACAGACTCAAGGTGACTTCCTGAAATAGTAGCTACTTGCAAAAATACAAGTGGTTAGTATGAAACACAGTCAAATGAACAGCCAGCCTTCAAAAAGCTCTCAAGATCCTGTTAACCTAAGGCAGAAGCAAGAATCACTACTATCTTCTGTATTCAAGTTCACTGAAAAAGAAGAAACAGTTCACTGAAAAAGTTACACACATGCATTGTTTTCCACTTCTCTGTTAGCAGCTGTAAAAATCAGTCCTCCAAACTGAATTCTGTTTCTTCACTACTTGGGAGAAACAGAATCCTCATCCTCTTGCATACACTTCGCTTTTACGTAACAGACATCACCATCTCACAGTTGTTCCCTGTTGAACACAAACATTAGCGTCTGTATACATTGCTTTATGCAAGAGAACCAAAGGGCTATGTGTTTGCAACCCCTCCATAGCATTTAGTGCACATGGTGCTGAGAAATGTAACCTTATGCTTATTTATTCAGATAAAAAAATACAGACTTAATTCACCAAATCCTGTAGGATAAAGCGTGCTTAAACTTTATTAGAATTAAACATAATTCATTAAATTAGAATTAAACTCAAGCTACACTTGCCTCAAAGTAACACTAGACCTTACAAAATTCATATTGTTTTCAGAAATATGGGAGAAATTGGGTGTAAAGTAACCGTGTGTGACAGTAATAATATTTATCTCTATTGTAGCTTTCATCCAAGGACCCCAAAGCGATTTTGGAATATTCATTCAGTCTCATTATTTGTGAACATGCACATTTTACCCTCAGGCACATGGAAATAAGTGTCACAAACCAAGGATTCATCGCAGCCTTCCTTAAAATCAGTGGCCTATTAAGTATTCTATTATTGGCAACTTTAAGAATACAGTTTAAGAATTCAGTTTCTCTAACTGCATGGCAACACTCCAAGTTCAGTTCTATTATTAACTCAGTGATTTTTCTTCCTCGTGTCTTATTTTTTTTGCTGGTTTTGTTATGTTTCTGTTGTTTTATGCTCTTCCAAAGCACTATTTTGGGGGCTGAATTTGTGCAAGGCACCAGTGCTCAAGTTAAAAAGACAGTACTATGTCATGAAGAACAGAGCCAATAATCTGTCTGCTATAGCTGAGATTTATTTAACCCACAGCTGAGTTCATCTCAATCTCAAGATGGAATACAGAGACTAAATGACAAAATACGTTTTCCACATTTAATTTGCAGGGCTAAAATTTGCTGAGCACAAAAGCTAGCAAGAATTTGTCAATGTATCTGTAAAAAGACAATTAAGACAATGTTGGAATAGCCTGTTCTGATTATATATCCAAGAGAGTGAACGTGGTTTCATTCCTTTATTTCAGGACAATATAACTTTCTTAAGGAGAAAACTCTTACAAGTGTAGACTGTGATTTCTATACACACTCTGGCCTGACTATTGAGAAAGATCCAAGTATAGCTCATTCTTTTTAAGTTCAGTACAGCATAATATTTATTTTTTCCCCTCAAGAATAGAAGAGAGCTTTTATTCACTCATTAAGCCTACATGTATTAAAAATCTAGTAATAATACTTTGTGGGAGACAAAGGAACTGGTAAAACGTTACCTTTACACTTCTAATTTCTGATTAACAAAGGGAAAGAGACTACATATATCTGTTTATAACCCAAGTATAACATGACCCACATAAATCATAATTCAACACTGGATGGCTATTTCTGTTTGACATTTGTGACATCAATGCTCAAGTCCAAATAGAGGGACCATTTGCCTTCCCAGCTCCAGAATCCAGCCAGCTCCTTCTTGCATCCCAACTGCATATCAAGGGAGTACTTGTGTGTTCCACTAACCCTCAGATCCCACTATTTGATGGCAATACTCTCACGGGAACCTGAGAGTGCTAGTAGCAGTGCACTGTGACAGCTGCCTAAGACACTAGAATCTGCTTTAGATACTAAGAATCTAAATCATGCACCTAACGTCTAACCTAATCATGCACCTAACATGTTTGATCATCATGACTGTTCACCTTGCGTCAACTAATGAATTGAAACAAAGATCTCCTTTCTTACTAAACACATTGCAGACATTCATTACATTCAATAGCAATATTTTCAGTTCTTAAATCAAAAATACTTCACAGAATCACAGATTTAAAATAATGATTAAAATAACGAGCTCGTATGCTGCATACCAAGGACATAAAGTCACACAAAAGGCACGCGAAGGAAAAAGAAGGCATTTCCAAATATTCACTGAATTATGTAATTCATTTTAAATCTGTCTCAGGAGCACTCTCGTTTATTGAGTCTGAAAACCAATAAAATATTACCAAATACACCAGTGATTACACAATGTGAAACTAAAAATACATCTATAAAAACCTTCTAGCAGATTGTTTACAAGTCCACAATGAGAATCACAGAACACTTGAGGTCTGAAGGAATCTCTGGATATTATCTAGTCAACTTATGTTCATGCTGTAAGAACACCACTGACCAACATAAGAACATGTTCATGTTTATACTGAAGAATTAAACAAAGAATGATCCTTTTTTTCCTCCTGCAATAGCAAAATTTGGCTATTCATGCTTTGAATTAATACTTTTTTCTAGTGATAATGAGATCAGTGTCAAATACACAACTATACATACTATACTATATACTACAATCAGTAGCAATTAAATAAATGGCAATGGCAATATGACAGTGTACTCTGGTACAGGTAAGACATGAGGTATTTCACTGGCATAAGGACTTGGGCCCAAATCTCCAAGATACTGGGTAAATACTCCTAAAGCTCACAGAAATTAGACCAACATATTAGTTTTTCCGAACATATGAATGTTCTCCACTCCTTTCTTCTGACTCTATATGTATAGTACTCTATAGAGTACTAATACATATTTCAAACCTAAGATTTTCTTTTTACATGTAAACAAATTTGAGATGATGACAAAATCTCTATATTAGAAGGAATTTTAAAAAAGACAGAAGGAAAGAACTCAAAAATTGGAAAAGGGACAGAGACTCACTCACCGTAGCCTGCTGCTTTTCTGCTTTCTCAGCTGCTTCCTTAAGCTGCTTTTGAAAGGCCTCCTGGAGAGATTTCATTTCTTCCCTAGTTGAAAACACAAAACACAAACTTCATCCCAAGAGCCCATTAAGAATTCACTTATCAGCTTCAAGAACAGATTTTTTTTTTTTTTAATTATAAGAGTAACTGACAGATGTGCTGTATATGCTAGGTGTTTTACTAATAGAATTAAAAAAAAATGAACTCATGAACTACAGTGATGGTGCCAGACAAAAATTGTCTGATGGAATTTGGCTACACTTTACATTCACCAAATAGTTTGTTGTACAGAACATCTACCAGTGTGTACTTTCTAGGAAAAGAGATTTGCACAATAAAGTCAAGGTAATTGGGCTTCTGAAAATATATCGGACTGAAGCGACATAGTTATCAAGGACAACTTCAAAAAATGTTATAAGAACATTTTATAATAAAATTCAATTTTCACATGTCTCTTGCTAGAAAGAAAAAACAGAAAGTCAGTAGAATATTCTGGCATAAAAATGGACGAGAAAAAACAAGGTAATAGTTTGGACTGGGCATTATTTGAGTCAAAACATTTTTGCATTTCAGATGCAATCACAGAATTTCTTCCAAGTGATTGCATCAAGCTGTGCTCCTCTGCTGGTGATCTCCATCTACCCACACACGACACATTTTGGAGCTGTCACACAGTACAAGACTGGCATATTTCAGAACGTCTGTAGAGAGTTTTCAGAGCTGTTTCTTGCAATAATCTTTCATGACAAAGGAGCAACGCAGAACTGAGCTGACGTTCAGCTGGTAATTTAACTCAAAGAAAATTAATCTGTGGAAAGCACCTCAACTACCACAACAGAATTTGTTAGCTGCTGGATCAATTTTTTGTTAGTTCAGGACTCTATTACTACAGCAATTTGGACAATGCTAGGTTGAAACATACTGATTTGAAATAGAGATCGAGCAGCATGGAACCAGTGCACCATCAGCACAAATCAACTCCCTTATTGTACTAAAGTAATCATTCTGAAATACTGATGTTTCAAGCAGCTCTTCACACTCTATTCCTTCTTGGCATAGAGGGCAACGCCTCCTTCCCTCCTTCCTTGTCTGTCCCTTCTGAGCAGTTTTTGGCCATCAATAGCACACTCCAATCATGGGAATCATCCCACCAGGTTTTGGTGATAGAAACTGCACCGTGGTTTTCCAGTAGTATGGTAGCTTCCAAAAGCTCTATGGTATTTTTTTTATGGCTCCAACTTGCTTTTTATTGAAGAACGGAAGGTTCTCGTCACAAGCTTTCTTGCACTGCCATACATGCTTCTACTAAATACATAAAATATCAGCAATAAGAGGGCCGAGGGATTTAAGTCATGCATTTCTAATAGTGAAGGAACTAAACACTGTAGTTTATGTGTGGTGTTCTCCAGAGGAAAGTATGAGATATAGATGCATCCATTATATAATATTGTTCGAAATAAAGTGATCTCTATGCTAGTTATGCTTACTTGTGATTGAAGTTACATTAATGACATGATTTACTGGTCCAAAATCCAATGACTAAGTGGGTCACAGAGCTGAACAATGACAGAAAGTTTCATACCTAAATCTTCCTGAGAAATTCAAAATCCTTTTCCTTAGCAGGTATCTCCACGCAGCATTTTTAATGTCTGTCCAGTATCAGCGCACATGTCATTTGTTTCAAGTTCTTTTCACAATATAGAGTTCCTTGCCTTTATCTTACTGTTAATGTTATGATCAGCAGAATCCAGACTACATGACTGTCTAAAATTTAAGGCAAAAGGAAAGGTGGCATTTTCTAATTGCTTTCATTCCAGAAAGTGAAAGAAAAGGGAGGAGGTATTCTTACCTTTGCTTTTGGCCTAGTTCCAGAAGTTTCTGCACATCACTTCTGGCTGATGCTTCATCGTTTTTCAAAGACTGATAGCAAAGCAAGAAATCAGTTACTAAAGACATCATCAGTATTACTCAGTAATAAAATGATTGACTGGGCACTCTTTTGTAACATGGAGAAAGTGTTCTATAGTGCACAGTACACATTGATTAGAAGGAGAGAATTCTGCAGTATGGAAAAATGTAGCACAGCATACTACAGTATAGTGCTGAGACACAGTACCTGTATTGTATGAAAAGTATAAAAGATGCTACTCGATATATTTTTCCCACTTAACTTACATCAATATGATGAAAAATACCCAACGTTGGGAGAACACTGTTCTTTAAAACGGCATGCAATACCGAAACTCTCAGCTGAAAATGAGTCTTTACTAGACCAGCATGCTGTATCAGGTAGATAGGCATGCTCTTAAGGAATCATCTGATCGTTTCAATACTTTGGATGCAGAGTATTGGCTCTCTAATTTTTGCTCTGAGGAGCAGATTTGATCTCAGAGTTAATTTGGCCAATGTCCTTTCAGCCAATCTACGATACCCAGAAAACCCCCTCAGTTAGAAGTAGAGGTATCTCAACTCTGAATGGCTGGCTGGCAGCTCTTCTAACACAGTTTGTCAGTTAAACTTGTAAAGTAATCCCCTGCAGTAAATCCAGATTGCATGTAAACTGGGTGAAGTGAGCAGCTACGCTAAGCTGCGTATACGCAGCTTAAGAGCAAAGAGGAAGCCTACAGCAGGAAAGGAAATCCTTCCTTAGTAGCTGCCAGGATAAATGCAGCTGTCGATAAATAAGCTGTCAACTAATACGGCTTATTCTTTTCTGCTTCTTCTTTTGTTCTACTGTATTTTTTTTTCACATTTCCTTCCTCTCTTCTGTTTTATTTTGAATAAATGGACAAAGAGCCCAACTCGTTTGGACTACACTTCCCTTGAAAACAACAGTTTTAGTGCAAGATCAAAAGAAGAACTTTATGAAATCAGCAATAACAACAGATTTTTTTTTTCCCTCTCACGAAATAGACACTAGTATGAAAAACCCAAGTAATTCTAAGCCAAAGGAACCCAGACATAACCTTACCTGGAGATTTACTTTAATTCCCTCAAGTTCTTTGGAAGTTTTCAACAGCTGATGAAGAATATTGCTTCTTTCCTTAAAGACTTCTTTTAGTTGTCTCTCTAATTCTTCATAGCCCTGTCTAACATAGAAAACAAAAGCATGAGATTCTCCTAAAACATTCCTCTGTGTGCTTCAGAACAGTATTAGTTTACTCAAATTTAATTAATTACAACTGTACAATATCTAGATTCTAAATTGGAATGTGGGATGGTCTCGCTACATAACAACTTGTTTTCTCCTAATATAGGTAAACAGATGAGTTGAATGCCAAACTGATACATCTAAGTATACAAATTCAAATGAAACATCAGCAATGGTGAACTGTTTGTGATGAACAAGAGACAGAATGGGTATATTTAACATGGATGACAATATACAGAGTAACAAGTATCTGCCAAACAAAAAAATAAGTTTTCCAAGGACAGAAGAATTCAAACTGAGATTTAATACTTTCTGTACCTAATAGATACCAAGTTCAACTGTCAGCAAAATATTGCATTCTCTTGGTACTTTTTGTTTCTGTTACTCTCTCCATTTGTGAATAAAATTTATTTTGCAAGAAATGGTCACTTCATACCACTTATGATATGTTCATCTACAAAAGAAAATGAAAAACTGGTCTTGTTGGAAACCTATTAGAATGACTTCATGAATGCATAGGGTAAAGATCACGTACAGCGATAAAGTCAGGACTTGGTCGTATGTAACCTAAGCAGTAACTAGACAGCACTCACAGTGGTTATCCTTGACATACAGAACTAATGACACAGAAATAAATCATCCAGTGCAGAACACTGATGCATCACTTACAAGAAAATTCATATGCCAAGAATTCGAAACTCCCACAGTTTACATAGCAGTGTACTGTTACATGAATTAAATGACATAACAATACAGTAGTTCTCACTTTAAATTGATAATGAGCAAAAGCCAAGCAGGAATTTGTTCCTGCCAAGGTATTAAGGCTGTTTCATTAAGGTCACCACGTCCATCCCTTCTTAAGCAGCACAACATGTTTATTAGCCTTTTGCCACTGAATTGTCATATTTTTGTTTAAAGTTAAACACTGCATTAAAAAATCTGTCCAAGTGGTAACACAGCCTTAAATAAAAATGAAATTAATTAGGGTACTTTCCTTGTTTTTAAATTAAATTTACTTTAAGTATGTATGCACTGATTTTCCTTTGTTTTATATGTTATGACAACATGCATCATGGAGGACACAAAAAGCTAACACAGTTGCCAGTTATCTAAAAGCTAAACCCTCTGAATTGTTAGAACAAAACAAAACAAATACATAAGCCATAACTATATTAGAGCTGTATCATTAGATCCACATTAGATCCACAAAGGTTTTTAATTGTGGACAAGCTTAACTCTGCCACCAAACTTTGACTCTTTGCACTGTGTCCTGGAGCAGTGTGCACGTATCTGAAGACAGTAAAATACCACTCTGCATTTGCATGATAACCAAATAATCCTTAAATTAACCTAGGTATAGGTCATGACCTCACTTTCTACTTTGAAATATGATAAACTCTGATGCCAATTTTGTACTATGGGACAATTTGGGTGGAAGTTGACTCAGATGTGAGATATCATACCACATCATAAAAACTAAAAAATCCTAGTGACTTTCTGACATCTTCTAATACTCAAAAAACATCAAGATTTCCTACTCCTTTTTCAGTATAATTATATGTGGGCAAATCAAATTTAAACCCATTCCTAGGATTTCCACTGTGTGATTACATACATACTAAATCTGTTCTCCAAATATTAGGTCACATCAGTTACACCCGTCTGCAAAAATAAGTGCCATTATCAGCATACACATCTGGGAATGGAGCAAATTCATTTTCAGAAGTTTTAAGATCTACATTACAAAGCAGAACAATTCAGCAATACTTTGCACTTTCAGGTCTTCAGTAACTGCATGCTGCTTTGCTTATACCTTCAGTCTATTGACTTGTTGTAAGTTAGAGTCCCAATATAATTTGTTCTTGGGGAATAATATTCCCTGATAGTATTAAGCTTAGTCAGTTATTTGGCTTTTCCACTGCTCTTATTGACAGAAAAGAGCATAGTATAGGAAATGTTTCAAAAGATCCTCGTTTTCAGTGTGGGGAAAAATCCCTCATAATTCCATTTCTGCATCACTCCACTTCTGTTATTTCCTTAAACTTTGTAAATTCAGCTTTTAGTCTTTAGAATAAAGATTGAGGTTTTCCCTGAATAATATATACAACACAGGACAAAGGAAAACTGATTTTGTTTTCCGACTAAACAACTATGCTTACAAAGCCTATCTGAGAAACACAACTTCTATAAAGATTTCAATTACTGATGGTACAGAAGTTTCTCATTGCACTCAGTGATATTTAAAACCCAATGTCCATAGTTTGTACACAACATATTTGTTTGTAATGTTCCACCCCTTCCTACCGAGAATCATGAATAAATACTTTGCCTAGGCTTGGTTTAATGGCAGTTCAAATAAAATCACTTAGTTAATATTTACACCTCTTCTAAAAAAGCTTAAGCATCCTATGTATTCTAAGGGCAATAGCCCACAGAAATGCAGCACGATGCATTTTATTGGGTTCCACACAACTAGCAGACAGAGAATCAGCCTTTACCATCTATTTCCTCTGACTTGTTATTGCATTCATTGTAAATCAAGCAAAACAACCTGGCTTCTTTCACAGACACTGGGCTGTACACGATCAACAACCCACCAGGGAAAGCACAAAAGTGCCAGTTCCCACCAAAGGAGAAAAAAAAAAAAAGAAAGACTTCTGAATATTTGTAGTCAGCTTAGAAATAGTGCCTCGTGAAGGCAGCAAGTTGACTTGTCATGTAATAACTTGATAATGACAGTGATGACCCACAGGAAAAAAATAACAAAGGACGAAACCCTGTGACTGATTCCACACTAAAGTAACTCCTCCTTCCAAACACAGGTGGGACAAGCCTTTTTATTTCTTCAATTCATCAATCAGTAGACAATTTACCTAGAGCAACGCATCCTTATTGAATTCATACAGCTGTAATAACAAACAGGCACTTAAATCTTCTGTAATTTATAAAATTCTTCACAACTATTCAAACATAGACTGCAGGAAAGAAGAAAAGAAAAAACATCTCCTTATAACGAATAATTAACCTGCTCAGCAATTCTGCCAGCAGTTCTGCCCCTTCACGTTCTGTCCACCCTGATACAGTGGCACCAGAAGAACAAGCAGGATTAACAGAAGCAATTGTACAGTTCATTTTTATGCCAGGAAGGACAACTGTGATCATTTTAAAATTAAATTTTTCTTTATAGTATCAAGTCGCCTTTAACTTTGGTCAATCCACTGTGAAAAGAGATCATCCCAAAATACTATTGTCTTGTGTTCTTGTGCAAAACACAGGATAATGCATTCTGCAATACTGCTGATCACTTATTATACGTCAGACTTGATTCTTGTGAATCCAGAAAGTAGCGTTCTGTACAAAATCCACATTCTTATAAAGCTGTGCTTTACTGGAGACCTCTGTTCTGTTGAGAACACTTGAATTTGCTGCTGCTATAACGTTCATTTTTCTGGATTTAAATTTTTCAAATGTGCTACGTTTCTATTTCATATACAACCAAATACTAAATCAAAGAGCACTGCTCATTAGGATCACACACTGACAAAGGAAAACTGCTCTACCATAATATCCCTTCTTTGGTGTTTCAATGGATTACGATCATCAAATCATTGGGTTCTTTCCTTTCCAAGAGGAAAATACTGCTGTACATGCTAAGCATCGAGTGATACTCCCACAGTAGAGAACATAGATTACATAAAGACTAACAGCACAAAAAAAAATTGGAGTTCAAAAGATATAGTAGCAGTAGAGAATAAATATGAAGTTCTGAAGTTCAGGCTGAAATATAAACAAGAGACAAACACCTCAACAGCTCAAAAGAAGCAGCAAGTCCTCACTAAGCAATTAAGAGAGATAAATGAACACTTCAACATCTACTGCTGCATCTCCAACTCTTTAACAACAAAACACTGAGAGGTCTGCTTTCAGCACAGGCTACAGGAGGGAAACCAGGAATAACCAAGTGCACATTTTGTGAATGCAAATCACCAAGAATAGCCCTTCCCACTTGGGAAGCTGAGAACTGCAGTTCCAAAAAGATGCTCGCTTCTGAAACATTGTAGAGAAATGCAGAAAAGAACAAGCTAAGTAGATTTTTAAAAGTGTAGATGCAAAATAAATGAAAGGGACGCAAAATTAAAACAATTTCTTTATTTAACTCGTTCCAAAACAATGTGTATCATAATATATTGCCAAAATGTATGTGTCAGAGACACATTCCTCATTTGAACAATAAAAAATTACATATAAACAAGTGTACGTAGAAATCATTGCATCATGTAAATGGTACCTACTTTGTGGCTCTCCTTTTGACACACAACATATAAAATAATGTATATTTCATACACATAAAAAGAAGATTCTTCCAATATTTCTTAACAACTGATATTGCCATTAGAACGACTAAAGCCACATTGATTTTTCCCTTTATGAAGTCTGTGTGATGTTATATTTGTACTGATAAGTTTAATAAAATATATCTGCTTAATAAAAATTGCCTGTGATATTTGCAGCTTGCTGATTCATTGGTAATGTATCTCAAAAAACGGAATCATGTGTGAACAAACTGACTAATGGGTAACATGAGAGAACAGATAAGCAAAACGTAAACCTGAAGAATGAAAGCGTTCATTTCTTCTTCCTTTTGTATTTCTCTTCTACGGCAAATCTTTATTTCCAAAAAGTTGCATATAAACTTTTCTGTTTAAGATATAAGTCCTAATTTATTATGAATTACTTATCTCCATGTTGTCCATCCATTCTGAAACCAATCTTACTAGTACATAGGTGAGATTTGAAGCATCCCTTAGTGAAATATTTTAAGATTTTTTTTAACACTACTATCTCAGAAAACAGCTGAAGTCTATGACAAAGCATTCTGCCACTTTGCTCCCTTCTTTCCACTAGTGTTCCCACTTGTCTTACTTGTGGAGTAGGCGC